CCACCAGGTTTCGAATTATTCCGCAATGATCGCGTCGGTAAAGGCGGTGGTGGTGTGGCTATCTACTTGACAAGCCGCATACCAGCCAAAATTTTATATTCATCCGTTTCGCATCATGGCTGCATGGAACATTTGTTCCTAGAAATTGACATTAGGGGTACCAAAGTCATCCTCGGAGTCGTATACTGCCCTCCTTCGATTGATTACTTTTCTGACCTTGAGGTCTTGATTGATTCTTGTGCCATCGATTATAATCACCATATTATTATGGGTGACTTCAATACAGACCTTTTAATTAATTCACCCTCTTCACGAAAGCTTCGTTCTTTAATTACGTCGGCAAACTTCTCCTTTTTACAGCTTAATCCTTCTCATCATAATCTCAATACATCCGATACGTGGATTGACCATATCATTGTATCTTCCTCAGATCGTGTCGTTAAATTCGGTCAAATCTCTGCTCCTTGCTTCTCCAGACACGATCTTATTTATATTGCATACGATGTGAAGCCTCCCAAATCGAAGCCTAAAATGATCTCCATTCGGAACTTTGCGAGGATGGATACGGAGAAACTTGAGCGTGATGCGAGTTTAATTGATTGGTCTCCTATTCGAGAAATGCCCTCTGCCAACGACATGGTCACCTACTTTAACACGGAGGTTCTTAAGTTATTTGATAGGCACGCTCCTGTAAAAAAGGTCAAATTAAAACGTCCTCCGGCGCCCTGGATTACACCTGGAGTGCGTATGGCCATGCGAAAGCGTGACAAAGCTTTTCGCATTTATAAAAGATGCCGTACTGATTTGCATTGGAATGCTTTTAGAATTGCTAGAAATCGATGCAATCAGATGGTGAGAAAAGCTAAACGCCATTACATTCATAAGAATATCCTGGAATCTTCTCCTGCGGATACTTGGAAGTTTCTCCGTACCCTTGGCATTGGTAAATCACAACTTCGGCAAAAGCCGTCTTTTCCGTTAGATGAGCTAAATAAACATTTCTCTTCTATTAAACCTCTTCTTACCAATGTCAAACTTTCTACTATCTCTGCTCTTTCTTCCAAGGTCCCCTCAACAAATTCAGAATTTTGTTTCAATTTCTTAACTGAAGATGAAGTCCGAAAGACAATTCTATCCATTAAGTCTAATGCTGTGGGCTATGATAATATAAGTCGAACTATGATCACTTCAGTGCTAGATTCTGTACTTCCTGTCTTGACTTATATATTTAATTTCTCCCTTACATCTGCTTCTTTTCCTGATCTCTGGCGTAAAGCCTTAACTATCCCTCTACCTAAAAACAAAAGTCCCACTTTGCTTAGTCACTATAGGCCTATTTCTATTCTACCATTCTTATCAAAGATCATTGAAGCCGCAGTCCACAAACAACTTACTTCATTTATTAATTCTCATAAACTTCTTTGCCCTTTTCAATCTGGTTTCCGTCCCGGCCATAGTACCACTACTGCTCTCACCAAAGTTCTTGAAGATGTCCGGGATGGCCAAGAAAATGCTCGTCTGACACTATTAGTTTTAATTGACTTTTCAAACGCTTTTAACGCTGTCGATCATGATATTCTCATAGCTGTCCTTTCTCGACTAGGATTCTCATCTTCAGTGCAGAAGTGGTTTACTTCTTATCTTCGAGATCGCTGGCAGGCTGTTCGTTTCGACCAGGAGTTATCCGGTTGGCGCGAGCAGACTGCTGGTGTTCCACAAGGCGGTATTCTTTCTCCTTCACTCTTTTCTTTTTTCATAAATACTCTCACAGAACTTCTAACTTCTTCTTACCATCTGTATGCGGACGACTTACAACTGTACGCCAGCAGTGACAGCCATCATTTGAATGAGGCTGTCGCTAGTCTAAATCGCGACCTCAGTGTGATCAATGACTGGTCAGCTTCTTTTGGTATTTCAGTAAATCCTACTAAGTGTCAAGCTATCATTGTTGGCAGTTCTCGTCTGCTGACCCAAATTGACCTTACTAGGGTTAATTCATTATCTTATGATGGAGTTGTTATCCCTTTTTCGACTCAAGTGATGGATTTGGGTTTAATTATCGATGACAAACTTTCGTGGATAGACCATGTCGATTTCGTCTCGCATAGGGTGACCAATTCTTTGAGATCTCTATACAGGTTTAAGTTTTTTCTGCCTATTCGCACCAAGATTGCTCTTGTTCAATCTTTAATTCTGCCTATTATCGATTATGCCGACGTATGTTATCCAGATATTAATGAAAATCTTTTAAATAAGTTGGATCGTCTTCTCAATAACTGCATTCGCTTCATATATGGCTTACGTAAATACGACCATATCTCACATTTTCGTCATCAACTCAAATGGCTTCCTATTCGTGAGCGTAGGAACCTAAGAGTTGTTTGTGCTCTTTTTAATCTTCTTTACGATCCACATACACCAGCTTACCTGAAAAGCAGATTTAGGTTTCTGTGTGATTCTCATGACCGTGTCCTCCGTTCAACGGACAACCTCCTTCTGCATACTCCCGTGCACTCTTCTGGCTTCGTCTCATATTCTTTCACCATCACGGCTGTACGACTCTGGAATGACTTGCCCCCTAATATACGTAAAGCTCCTAACAAATTCGTATTTAAGGGATTGGTTCGTGAGCATTATCTTAATATAATTAATCTGCGTTCTCATACTTGACTGGCATATTTATGTGTATGTATGTATTGTAGATATAGCATATATATTTACATGTATGTAGTGTATATATATTTTAATATTTGTGTATTATATTGATATATATATTACCTACCTGGTTTATTTAGCATATGTCCATATTGCACCCCCGTATTTTTAGTTCTCACGCTTTTACTGGTCGACTGGTAGAGAATGCCTTATGGCATTATGTCCGCCAATTGCTGTTTGTTTTGCAATAAAGTATAAATAAATAAATAAATAAATACTACTGAAGCTGATAGAAGTGATATGGCCGTATTGTTCACTTTCCAGATTATTATCGCCCTTGAGACGGTCTCTGGAGAAGGGTGATGTAGCGTACTTTTATAATTGTAACTACTTAAAAACTTAAATGAATTTATAATTGTATAATTTTGTTAAAGCTAAATTAATGTGTATTCGAACCTTTATCTATATATGTATATATATAAAATCTATATTAATAATAATGTAAATATTTAATTTCATAAATAAGTAAAATAAAGAATTTTGATTAAATAATGTTTTGAGTTGACAGAGAGACATACATATTTCTTTATGTATAGCGAGGGCGAATGACGCGCGCACCACGATCGGTGTCTATACCGGTCGTTCGTTCGGTCTCCGCGCAGCGGCCGGCGAACGGTGGGATGCGCCTGCGCTCGCCCGGGAGTCAGCGGCATACTTTAACGTCGAATGCATGTCGCTCTGGCTTAGCTCGCTCACCTTTGCATTGCATATACCTACTCTCTTAGTCTCTGTTTCTTCATTATTATTTATTGTCAGTCTAACTATTCTCCTTCTATCTCTCTTGTGCTGTGTTTTGACTGTTAATATATATGTACACTGTGTTTGTGAAATAATTACAAAATCTGTCAAGTTTAACGGTTGGACTTATTATTTTTTCCGCACAAGAAACAAAGCAAAGTTGAATTCACAATTCATAGTGATGATATGTTGTTATTGAATAAACAATTCATAGTGATGATATGGTATACATTCCAAATCTAAATTTTGATTGATTTTAGTGTTTAACACTGAGTAATCCAAATGAACATAATATGATGTCAACTTTGGCCACAGACCAAACAGTACAAGGGCTGCTGATTAGTCGCTTTTATAATTTGGTTTGGTACCTACCTACTTAACCACCTAGGTTAACGGTATGTTTAAATTGAACTTTTCTGTTGGTTTATTAAAGTTATGTACACAAATATTTTAGATCATATCAATACTTCCGATATCTGATATTATTTTTTTAAAGTACTTGACTGTTATTCGAAGCTTATAATTGAGAAAGGCATTTCCGTTTCCCGTAGTTTGTCATCAAAAATCATTTTATCCTCTTTTTCACTTATTATATTATTTATATTATATTATTATTAAAATCAATATATTTAAAGAATCCTAAAAATATAAAACCCCCTACTAGGGATATTGACGAACTCTCTAACTTTTTGTTTACATATTCATTGAATAAAACTAATATCTATAAAATATCTCGTCATACACCTATTCTTTTACTCCTATGCTCAGGACGTCGTATCCACGATTTGACTTTACTTAGAGTGGACCCTGAGTGCTGACCCACTGCATCGAATCCGAAGATTCTTTTATCTTATGGCCAGCTTTCGGTTCAAAAACTAATAAAAGTAATCATGTGAAATCGGGTTGGAAATTATTAACAAATAAAGACAATTTGCGGTTGAACCCAGTTTCTTTGAATTAATACAGATGGAATTTTCCATTTACACCCGATCCGAAAACAAGTTTCACTTAAAAAAAACAGTCTAAGTGCGAGTCGGACTCGCGCACCGAGGGCTCCGTACAAACTAAATTTAATACCTCTACGCGTTCATGAGAAAAGACGTAGTAACTTTAAAATTAAAAAAAGTATTTTTTTTTTGTATGATGTGACTAAAAATTTACGGTTTTCGCAATTATTCCTTTATCTGTACTATAAGACGTTACTTCGTACCAAATTTCAAGATTCTTAGTTCACGGGTACTTCCCTGTAGGTTTTAACTCCCGTGCGAATTTCGCAAATTCGCGAGAATTTGCGGCGTAAACTTTTATTATCTTCGTTTCGTATCTTTTGATTGTTTTGGCTTAGAAGTTTTATTTTTTTACGGCTCCAAGGGACAGTAGGCATGAGTATTAGATATGAATTTCAGTTTGATACCTCCACGCGTTCCTGAGAAAAACGGTTTTGACAGATGGACGAACAACTAAGTAATCCTATAAGGGTTCCGTTTTTCCTTTTGAGGTATGGAACCCTAAAAACAAAGTTAAATCATATTTAAATTCATACATACCTGTAAGGGTACCCCTGAGTCTTAGCTCTGAAGACGGACAGTAGTAGCGAGAAGAACACGCACACCAGCACCAGTCCCACGACGGACTGGAAGCGGCGTCTCTTTCCCTCCGCCTGAGTGCGAGCGGGATCGCTGTTCTTCACTCCGCCCGCCGCCTCGATCATTAGGATCATGCCTACTACCACGGCACCGTCTGAGAACAGGGGCTAAGGAAATCATTATTGAGCCGTTCCAAAATTATGTAACACCCATTACGCCTTCCTTGACTGGATTTTTTTTACTTTGAATATTTTTTTAAAAGAATACTTGGGGTGTGATCTACAATCGATACCGAAGCCAAAAATATAGTTTTTAAATATTTGTCTGTATGTATGTCCGGGATAAACTCAAAAAGTACTGCATAGATTTACTTCAAATTTGGCACGAATATTATTAAGAAGTCGGGTCAACATATAGACTACATATTATTATCACGCTATCACCTACGGGGAACGAGCAGTGAACCTTTATTTCTAAGTAACTCCACGCGTACGAAGTCGCGGGCGGCCGCTAGTTAATGGATAAATTAGAAGTGATCTTGAAGGAAAACATTTTTTTTACTCTCATAGCACCTGCTTTTTACAATTTAGGTATTTTTATAAAAACTTAACTAAAATTCAACATAAAATATCATGAATTTTGGTTCAGTATCATGACGGCACTTCACTTGGCTATTCGTATTTGCTATTTCTAACTTGACGACAGTGGTCTTTGTCATGCTTTATAACGAATGAAAAGAATAGCCGCCCTATTCGCTGTCTTTTGTAACACTTACAGTAACTAAAGGGAAAATTTCATATCGATGCTTTACAGAACAAGTATCTTAATGGCGTTTTAATAAAGCGGTAGTGGATCACTAAATAGCTCGATGATTATCACTTCCATCTGTCAAAAGAAGTTAGCGAATAGGCCTACTGACTGATGTCAAGTCTGGAAAAAAAAATCAAATGGGATATGGAGTAAAGGAACTGTAAGAAAATTGTATAATCTGTCTAGTAAGTGTAAAGTCAAACTCGCACACAAGACGTTCCATAAAATCCATCATCCTGCAAGCTCATTCAATTTTAAAGAGGAGACAGTTTATACCCATACAAAACAATCATAATATTTAACTTTATACACTTCTATGGAACTTCTTATGTGTGACATGACCTTACACTTGCTAGACAGATTATAAAATTTTCTCATAGTTTCTCTATTCCGTATTTCATCATGATAATTTACTTTTTTTTATTTGCGTTATATCAATCAGCAATAAAACACACACTGTCATTATTATTGGAACCTAAATTGAAAAGGATACTCAGAATGGCAACGATGTAACTCTCCAGTACGAATTGTCCATGGGAGCCACCGTTAATGTACACCGGGCCATTCTTGGTCCTGTGGAAGAAAGGCGGGCCCCTGATCTGGTTCCACATCTGTCCGGAGACCATGGCGAAGCAGAAGAATACAGCACACACTGCCCACATCTGCTTGTTGTACAGAAACTCCAGGTTGTTTCGCCGGAGGTAGAGGAATCCGGCCACAAGGATAAATAGCATTGTGAAAGCCACCGCACCAGAGTAATTTGGTGGCCTGAACACCCTGATCTGGAATGAAAAAAAAAATTGAATAACCACAAAAAAAAGTTTAATCGGGCAATTCCTTGTGTAGATTCTGCCTTCTTCATTCTAAACTTAAAACTAAATTAAACATCAGTCTCTCCTTTTCATTCTGTATTAAGAATGAGAAGGATAAACTGTTTTAAAATTTTATTTTAGGTTTAGAGAATAATGCCAGAATCGTCACCATTGTCATACTCTTGTACAGTACCCGGCATTTATAAGTCGCATCGAGCTTTAGGGTGCGGCCAGAGTGCACTCAGATTCAGAGTCAGATTCAGATTCTGAAAACAAGCGTGAGAAATAAACAGTGTAGTCGAAGGTTACGGCCAGATTGCACTTCTGATTCAGATTTAGATTCAGACTCAGAAAACAAAGCGCGAGAAAAAGCAAGCAACCTGCTTAGACTACACTGTTTATTTCTCGCGCTTGTTTTCGAAATCTGAATCTGAGTCTGAATCTGAGTGCACTCTGGCCGCACCCTTAGAAAGAGATACTCGGCTAGCTTCGGCTTTGTATAGCGCCGTCTCTGTCACCCTTGTCAACCTGACCTTTAGTCGCTGACTTGTCAGTCGTAGTTATAGATGTAAGGCCAGTTTAAAACCAATTAAACCAATACGTTTAAAACGAAAAACGAAAACCGTTTAAAACCGAAATAAACCATTTTTCGATTTAAAACGGTTGGTGTTGATTACTATGTTTTTCTTAAATATAACTACATTGTCTTGATTTTACCGAGGTAGGAATATAACGGAGTACCTATAAACTGTGTAAAGATTTTTTAAATTTATGATTTACTTACTGATATTGATATACTTAGCGAGTTTAGTTCTAGTTTGTCCATCCGCGACCAAGCATAGGTATTACCTACTTGAGTTATAAAAACTCTTATCATAAGTTAAAAACTCTGTTGGTAAATAAAAAAAAATTCAACGTTTTCAAACGATATAAATCAATTCAATCAATTTGATTCGGTTTAAAACCAAACTCACACTCTCGCACTCTCGTTGACGTCACTCGTCGTTACTCGACGCAAACGTTGCCAGCTCACCTACCCTACACACACATGCACATAAACTGCAATATAAACATGACGTCAGGTGACCAAAAATTGACCTAAAGAAACATAGTTCTTTTATTATTGTATGCCAGTTTTAAACCGTTTAAAACGATTTATTTGGGGTTTAAAACGGCAACATTTTGTTTAAATCGGTTGTTTTACATCTATAGTCGTAGTTCAACGTCGATAAAGAGCAGTCGCGTTCTTCTTAAAATACATATACAGAGTTACTAAAACAAATATAAATATTTCGTGAAAGAAAGAAAGAAAAAAAATTAAGGATGATGATGTCAGTAATTATTTTATGAGAGGCTTCGCATAACTATTAGTGTTTTGTATTTTGTTATTATTTGTTTGGAAATAAAATTTTTTCATTAAAATAAATCAATTAACAAACATAGTACATGTATGTTGTCTTTTACCTACATGATTTCTTTTTGTATTGATTTCTAAAAAAACTTAAAAAAAAGTTTTAGCATCTCTTAATAGATACCGGACTGTTAGTGTTTCGTGTGACAGAGATGACGCTATACAAAGCCGAAGGTAGCCGAAGCTAGCCGAGTATCTCTCTCTAGAGCACGATGCGACTTATAAATGGCCTGGTACTGCATGTCACTTATACAAAGTTTTAAACAGTGTAGCTCTTTTTGTTTCTTGTTACTAATTAATTTATTGAATAAAACAAGTTTCAATGGTACAGATGCACTGATTTATTTATTTATTGACGTAATCTTTATTGTTATTTTTGTATAATAGCTTGCTTGGTGATTCAGGGTTACAGATGAGCCAAAACAACTTTGACTGATTTGCAGAAGTAAAAACTAAAACTTTTATTGACATATTTTAAATGTTGCAATTCAATTTTGATTATTAGTGAACGTTCAGAAATAATTTTAATTTAATAAATCAATAATAATAAATAGTTAATTAATGTATAATGTATAATAAGAGTCTTTGTTACTTGAAATAAATAAATATACTGGTTAGTATACCTACTTTAATTGTATTGTATTGTTAATATAGTTTCAATGGAGATATATCTATGGGCAGGACACACAGCCAGAGCACAGTGTTTTATGGAACCAAAAAAATTTACGTGTTCAGGTTCTTACATAAATAGATTATTTATAACCTAAAAAAGGCATGAGTTCAGTTCACAGAAGTCTAACTCAAATACTTTTTGAGAAAAAAAATCATGAACTTATCGTGACCTTTGACCTATGAAATCTAGAATATTTTTTTATAAAGTGAATATTAACAATATATTTTTTTTCATAAATATGTGTCAATCGGGCATAATCAGAGGCGTATAAACGCGTTTCTTTAGCTTAAAAAAATGCATTGGTTTGGGAGCAGCATTTTTTTTTTTTGTATTTCGTATTTATTGTTTTTCTCCTTAAAAACGAAAAAGTGGAACCTAGAACTTAGATAGAAATAAACCTACGGATGTGGTCTATCATACATAAATAAGCCACGTGTCACTTTTGCGGCGTTTAGAAGATGTTAATTTTTATTTTTTTATGCTAGGGTTGACACAGAGTGTTTTATAGAACCAAAAATATTTACACCTTAAGGTTTTTGCATAAATCAATTATTTAAACCCTAATAAAGGCAAGAGTTCAATTCCCAAATCACTATTTTAAGTAAAAAAAAGATATGAAGTAGCAAAGTTTTTGAAAGGACAATGTTAAAATTGGCCTAAGAACCAACACCAATTTGGCATTTATGATAATTCTTAGTATATTTTTTGCGATAATTATCAGTATTTAGATTGTGACGGACACTTCCAGTTAAGTAAGCTAAATTAAAAAGTTAAAAAATAATCTCAGCCAATAAATACCATTTCATGTGTATAATCTATGGCAGCGCTGCCAACAAAACACTCTTTCTTCCTATTGCCGGCACTTCACTTGGCTATTCGTATTTGCTATTTTAAAACATGACATCAGTCTGTCCTTTTCATTCCTTATTAAGCATGACAAGGACAAACTGTTGTCAAGTGAAGGGCAGGCATTAAAACTCGTTACTCTGTGGTTGCGGTGCATGCAGTTTGCATTCGTAGTAATCTGTGGCATTCGTGCATTCCAAAGAGTAGTATAATAAACCGGAAAGTGCATTCTCGTTTCGGATTACCTGTTGTGTGTGTTTATTTGCGATTGTTTTTCCTTTAATTTAACTATTTCGGCTATATAATATGCCATCGATGTTACCAAAGAGCAGAGCCCTTATTACCTACCTTAAGAGCTAGTGAACCTGTGCCACAACATCCTGAGAGGATCATACTGCCAAATTATTCAAGAATAACTGATACACATTCACGCTGCATATTTACACAATATACCTACATGTGAGATACAAATAAGTACAATAAACAATATGATACAATTATGTGAAAAATAGTCAATAAATAAGAAGCAAAACTACAGTTTTTATTTTATTCACGATTCCCACCTAACCAAGTTTTTCCTAATAGTTATTCTTTAAAATCGCACCGAATAAAATGAATTAGTTGTAATATTAATTCACTTCATACTGAGTTTAAACTAAATTCATAGGTTGACCTATGTTCCATTGAATATTAAACATGACCTCAAAAAAATTTTAGTTTTCCTAATAATTTAAGTTCTCAGAAGTGTCCGTCAATAATCTTTGTTTTTACAGTCATTTACTTACGATTTTGAATATAGAAAGTAATATTTCATGATTGTTGGTTCTTAGGCTAACTATGTATGGACGCTGAACAATGTCCTTTGCGCATGAAAATATTAACAATTTAATTTCCTCAAAAGACGGTTCCATATCTGTCCATGAGATATTTGCCACTTGCTAAGGAATTATTGATGGCATAATTTTGTAATTTTATTTTATTTATAAGTGTCCTAGTTTCCAAGAGTTTCTTTAAATTTCGATTTTTAAATTTTTTCTCCAAAAATCGGCATAAGTGGAACCTGGATTTAGTACAGAAAGGTTCTATAAGCCAAGTTCTATCACCCATAAAAAAATCAAGTTTCACTTTTGCGGTTTTAAGAAGTTATGACAGAATTTAGATAAAGGTCAACTTTCATGATCTAGGGTTGAAAAATATGTCCGTTTTTATAGTTGGCACCCGATGACAGTAACAGTTCATAAAATCCTCATGCACGGTTTAGAAATTATTGCGTCCAGTGCACTGCCCATCGGTATGCTATCTGAACAAGCAGCTGAGTCCCGAAATAAATTCTAGCGTTCAGACAGAGAGCATCATTGCCGAAAAATGAACAGGAGAACCACAATGACGGACCTCTTTCACCGTGCCCTAGAATCATCAGACCCGTTTATTTCTATGGCAAATATCAGCCAACGTCGAAAATATTCTTAGCGATTTCCCTTGCCTTCAGCTGCTTGCGAGCTCTTACAACCAACTGATGCAGATCGATTGCCGTTATTCGAAGCAGAGGAAGATGCTGAAGATGAAGATTTTTCGAACGTCGCAAAGGAAAGCAACCTAGAATTATTAAACGAAGATGATTTATTTGTATAAAAGTTAAAGTAGAGGTGTTGCATAAAGAAGGTGCCGGCAGGTGATGACACTATCCTAGATTGATTTTAAATGTGAATGAATTTCTAAATCCAAAATTTCATCACAATCGTTAGATCCGTTTCCGAGAAACCAATTACATACCAATATATTTATATAGGTACATACAATAATTGCTCGTTTATAGTATAGGATGTGTGTTCAATTTTTTCAAACAACATAGTTTATTTTTTCGTTGCCATTTAGCGTGTAAGGCAAAATTAAAATGTGGTCGTCAAAATTAAAACATAAAGTATTCCTACATTATCACATCTACATTAGGTAGGTAGTATATGTAAGTATATTGTATTCGTCTATAAGTACAACACTTATTCAATTATAATATAATATAATTTATTCAATTGATTGACGGTATTAATAACAAAAAAAAACCATTTTCATTTAACTCATAGTTGACCTTTGTGACAACCCTAGATCATGAAAGTTGACCTTTATCTAAATTCTGTCATAACTTCTTAAAACCGCAAAAGTGAAACTTCATTTTTTTATGGGTGATAGAACTTGACTTATAGAACCTTTCTGTACTAAATCCAGGTTCCACTTTTGCCGATTTTTGGAGAAAAAAATTAAAAATCGAAATTTAAAAAAACTATATTTCTTGGAAACTAGGACACTTATAAATAAAATAAAATTACAAAATTATGCCATCAATAATTCCTTAGCAATTGGCAAATATCTCATGGACAGATATGGAACCGTCTTTTGAGGAAATTAAATTGTTAATTTTTTCATGCGCAAATTTCAAAAACTTTGCTACTTCATATCATATCATATCTTTTTTTTTACTTAAAATAGTGATCTGGGAATTAAACTCTTGCCTTTATTAGGGTTTAAATAATTGATTTATGCAAAAACCTTAAGGTGTAAATATTTTTGGTTCTATAAAACACTGTGCAGAGGCAGAAGCAAAGAGAAATGGAGTCAAACAACTATACTGTATTGGTACCCACTGAATTAGAAATGATATGGATTATTCTTACAAAGGCATCACTCTTACAAAGGCCGCTAAAATATGTTTCCAATCTTATACAACTAAACTTCAATACTAACGTGACATGCCCACAGACAAAAAAAATACTTTGACAATTCATATATTTGAAAATGAATTCGTCTATCCATTCATTGGGTAAAATAATATTAAACGGAAATATGAACCAAATAGATTATTGGTGTCGGCGCGTTGATCGCAGTTTTTCCCCCTGCCCACTTAATCGCAGTTTGCGTGGAACCACTTCTTAACATAGTTCGTATTCCATACCATTTCTAATTCCTCGTTCCGTAGAGATAGAAGAAGGGAGAAAGGTATGCCTTTTAAGAGATGAGTTAACAAAATCCGATCTATAGTAGGAGGAGCCCGGACGAAAACCACAAAATAGAGTTGTGGCGATGATTGAGGAGGCCAATGCCAATCATGCCAATCAAGGGCACAGTCTGAGACTGATTGAACTTGAAGTTTGAATATTTTAAAATGTATTGTTATGTTATACATAATATAGTTGATTACTAGCTTGGCATAGCTTACGACTTTCATATGTGCTTGTAAAAGGCTAAACTGAATAAATGAATATTGATTTTGAGTTCCAATACCATTTTACAGAGAAATAGACGTAATTTCACACTCAGTTAAACTCAGTTTTTTTTTCATGCGGAGTTAGAAAATGTTTGTTATGAGCATAACTATATTAAGATAAGAAATTGCTGTGAATTGTGTTTTAGAAATAATGAAATAAAATACATAGAAAAATTAAATAAATTAATATTAATTTATGTGAAATACTGGGGACCCCTTAGGAACATAAGTAGTTCAAGGAAATATATATACGCCACTTAGGCACTGCTTAAAAATTAATTTAATTTCAGTTTTTATTTAATGTTAAATTTTAAGCAGCACCCAGCAGTAATGGTGTATAAGCAATTTTGCTTTTCCACTGTTAATATGTATTAGCAATTATGAATAGTATGAAATGTGAATGTAATTTTTAAAACAAATATTCTTTTCCCATTCCATCACTACCACCCCCTTTGGGTGCAAAGGGGGCTTAAAGGGTGATTTCTAGGATGAATCTTGTCCATTACCAGAACTCACACTATCTCTATACCAAATTTCACTTAATCGGTTCAGTGGTTTTAGCATAAAGAGTCAACAGACAGACACACTTTCACATTTATAATATTAGTATGGAGTATGAATAATTTTGTCTGACTTTATGTAGCCTTTTAAGCAGAATAGTAATTTCAGTGCAAATTATTCACAATAAAAAAATTATACCTATACATCAACAAAACCATTACAGAATTGATAATTATTAAAATAAAACATATATTTTGATTTTAGTCCACTAAGTAATCCCAAACTGTACCTACTGAATATGAAAGTTATTAAGAATTTATAATATTGAGTGATTTCCTGTGATAAAATTAATTACCTGTACATCAGTTCTATCTTGAATCCATTTAGCAATAGCCTCAGCATGGATACCAGCCCTTTCAAAGTCCATAGAGTCTGCTGGCTTAGGCTTCCCTTTAGCAGGGAAGTGCATGATCACAGGAGCTGTGTTGAGACGTAGCTGAAAGTTTTTGATTATTTTTATACAAACGAGTTCAAATACAATCTAAATAAAGTATTTAATATAATGTAGCATCATTGATACATTATATTAAATACTTTATTTAGATTGTATTTGATACACAAGAGACGAAATAGGGAAGTGGACAAGAAAGACCACGGAATGGATCCCCAGAACGAACACTTACGGTAAACGTGGACGACAGCTGAAACGATGGTCGGATGACATAAGAAGGGTAGCTGGCCCGCTATGGCTGAGGTTAGCAAGGGATAGATCAGGGTGGAAAAGGCTGGAGGAGACCTATGTGTCTACAGGACACGCTGAATTATAAGTTAAAAATGTTAATGATGTGTTTTTTATGTAATTATCAGCAATAAAGGCTTTTGTATTTTGTATCAATGATGAAATTATTACATTTAATTACTGCGTTCATAATTCACAATTCTGCCTCTCCTTAAATTTGGTTAACAGATTGTAGTTAATAGTTTGATAAGCATCATATACTACAAGAAATTTGGTAAAAAAATATAATAAATATAGTGGTTGCCTGCTACTTCATCTGCATAAACTTTAGGTTTTTGGGAATACCACAGGAACTTTACATTTTTTCAGGATAAAAAGTATCCTATGTCTCAATCCAGGTCATAAGCTATATGCATACCAAATTTCGACAAAACTTGTTCAGTACTTTTTGCGTGATTGAGTAGAAACATACAAACTCACATTATTAAAGCTTAAAAAATCTCATAGTGCCCATTTCTGCCAGTGTTAAAGAACTATTATTTTGTTCACCTGATTAGACTAGACAACATATATGAATTTCATATAAAAGCAAGCTTAAAACAAATGGAGAAATGCACTCACCATTTGGAAGACATCAGATCCCTCATCAAAATCAACCATACCAAAGAACAATTTGTTATTGTAGGCTTGTGAAAATCTAAAAGAGTTCGCAACAATCATGTATTCATCGTATACGTGTTGGCAAATTGCACACCGTCGAGCTGGAGCCATCGCCGTGAACATCACTATAAAGGAATAATCTCTGGGAGGCGATTTTACATATTCTTTAAACTTATTTAAATTAAGAGGTATTATAGATTTCTTCGCAGTCATATCAGTCAGCTGTTGCAGTTTCTCATCCAGCTGAAAATGGAGAAGTTTCATGAACTGCAATGAGATCCAATAAGCGCCGGGTTTATTTAAATCATGGAACCATAAAATTATGATTTACCCCTTTTGCACGAGTCTGCGCTTCCCCTTGATAGAAAGTGAGAAGCACAAACAAACATAATAATGCTTTAAAATTCATTATAATTAAGAACCTAAGATTATATTCGACTGAAATCTGAAATTATTATAAAACAAAAAAAGATTGATTGAAATGTCAGACAACCACGGGTAACAACTTGGCAAGTTAAATGTCAAAATCAACTAGTGATGTTCGAATCGATTATAAATAATCAATTGAACTAATTAAGTTAATATTATAATTTTATACACAGAACACCCACATAAAAAAATCATCAGTGTAATTACTCAATAATTTATCATTGTGAGTGATAGTGATGATTTGATGCCATCGTCACTCAGGCCCACGTCTAGTTTTCCGAACTCCAAAATAAAGGGTGGCTTAAACTCAAATTGTATTAAAAACTCACGAATGACCCGGTCTTACTTCGTTTCAGTAAAGATTTTACATTTTCTTCTCCGGCATATAATGATTGCTAGGAATTAATTACATAAACAGGCATTTTACAGGGTGCCCCATGGGTTTGTTACACGTAGGGTAAGTATATTAAATATTGAAAATAGGATATTTTACTGAAAGAAGACATAATTTTATTTTTAATAATAAGTAGAACTGCATTCTCAGTTTTTAAAAAACAATTAGTCCCGTTGAACTACGTTATTTAATTAATTTATAGTTTAAATCTACAGGAAATTTACTAGAAAAAATCCACGTGGACCAGGAAGCAGACAGGACTCGAACGCGCACCCACCCGATGGCACTGTCTTGCAGCCTTATAAATACTAGAGAAAATTCGAAACGACCACCAAGACCGCGGTAGCATAATTGGTCAATGCATCCGCCGTATTTATGGAGGGTTCGAGTCCCGTCTGCTGCCTGGTCCACGTGGATTTTTTCTAGTAAATTTCCTTTAAATTTATAGTATAAATTAATTAAATAGTGTAGTTCAATTGGAGTAATCACTCATCGAAATAATCGCTCATCACTAGTCGAAAAAAGAATGACGTGTAGTATAGGCTTTTTGTCAACTTCTCCCTTTTCTGGGATGACAAGGGGAACAATATACAGCCTGGTTTTTAGTTTATTTATTTTACTTATTTGAATTTTATTAATAAAGGTTCTTGAAGATTTTTATAAGTCTTCTTATTTTTCCTAATATTCAGAATGTGTGGTTATTTTTTTAAGTACATTTTTTAAATATCACAAAGAAATAAAAAAGGAATTGAAAAGCAAACAGAAACAACTTTGTTTTAAACTTTCATGATCACTAACATTATAGTAATATATGTTATTAACAGGATTGTTACCATGTACCTTGTTTTAGCGAGTTTCCGATATTTCGACACTGTTGCATCAATAACATAATAATTTAAATAATAAATTATTATGTTATTAATGCAACAGTGCCCATAACATATATTACTATAAGAAACAACTTTTTACGCAAAACCGTAGTAAAAAGCACGCCCTTCTCTTTCGAACTTACCGCGCGAAAAAAAACACGTGTTTTCGCGCGAAAAAAAACACCTTTTATTAGAAATTAATGTAAGGGAACTTAATCCATACAGTCTCATCTTCAGCGTTTATTTTGAGTTATTAAATAATTTTTGAGCAAAATATTATTAATTATTCATAAAATTTTGCTTTGGTCTAAGGTCTAATATTCCACGTATGCTAAAGATTTTAATGGTTTCAGATTAATCCGGGCGCTGCAAAAAAAAGACGAGCGAGCCTTACAGTAGTCGGGTATGATGTGTAACATTTGAAAGCTCATTATATATTAGTAAAAAAAAAAGAAATAAAACCTACTACAAAGGAATATGCCATTTGAATGCACAAGCCATGCGAAACCAATAAAAAAAACCTTAACAGACATTACTATAACAAACAACTTTTTACGCAAAACCGTAGTAAAAAGCACGCCTATCTCTTTGTAAACTTACCGCGCGAAAAAAAAACACGTGTTTTCATAAATCCTTTTATTAGAAATGTAAGGGAACTTAATCCATACAGTCTAATCTTCAGCGTTTATTTTGAGTTATTAAATAATTTTTGAGCAAAATATTATTAATTATTCATAAAATTTTAGTTGGGTATGATGTGTAACATTTGAAACCTCACTATATATTAGTTAAAAAAAGAAATAAAACCTACTACAAAGGAATTAGAATCTAAATGGGCTCTTTGCGTGGATACCTGGCCATCATAACATCACTGGCAACGAAGTAGCTGATAAACTCGCTAAAGATTCAGTGAATTGTGGTGACGTCTTTCCCTATAAAAATTTAGTAAATGATCTTCTTTTACTTCCTAAAGTGCATCTACGCATATCTTGGGAAGAAAATTGGGATACTAGTAGTCGCATCAAAGGTAAACATTATAAATTAATTCAACAATGTATTCCCGATAAACCATGGTTTTCTAAAATTCACTTAAGTAAGTTTGCCACATCAAGTCTCATAAGAATGCGCCTAGGTCATAACTGTTCTTCTTCCCACCTGGCTAAACTGGGCATAGTAAATGATAATATTTGTGCTTGTGGTACTGGAGCAGAGGACTTAAATCACATCTTCTTCGAGTGTCTCCTCAATGATTCCTCCTCTTTTATGGATTCATTAATATCCCTTAATGTACCTCTCCCTACTTCTATTCCTTCCTAATTGTATTATAAAAAATATAATATATATAACAAGCTATCTGAATTCCTAACTAAACATAATATAAAATTATAAGTAATTTATTAGAAATAATATAATGTATTTTATATATTTAAAAAGACCTATTACTTACATTTCAAATTAATTTTACGTACTTACCTGATCCTAATCCTTCCAAATTCCGTTTCACAACCTTTTTATTTCATTATTTTGGTTTCCTTACCTTTTACCCTGTCGTGGCCAATGCACAAACCGTGCAAGCCATTATAATAATAATAAAAAAAAAGGAATAAGCCATTTGAATGCACAAGCCATGCGAAACCAATAAAAAAAATCTTAACAGACAGGGCTGTATGGACTCAGAATCCTTTGCCCGTCCCAACAGGGACAGATTGACCAAAAAACCCTTTGAACATTAAGTCTAAAATCAAATCAAATATGGACACCACAACTGCGTTAGAGAGCCACTCTAGCTACACTTAGGGACACGATATCGAATAGAAAGTATCGATACTGTACTCATGAGTAGTATCGGTAAAAAAGTATCGTACTCGTAAAAGTATCGACACAAAAGTATCGATACTTCAAAGTATCGAGTACATTTCATAGGGCCTTATCGGAGCCTCTGTGGCCTGATGAGCAACCCCCTCCCCCTCCCCGGTGTTAAAATTGAAAGAAAAACAATCGAATTTTTTATAGGACGTATAACCAAAACAAAAAAAGGACATGTAAATTCACAAATTGCTGTATTATATAATGAAAAGAAAATAGCTGTGATTTCTGACACTAAAACAGTGTTCATTAATATTACATTCATAATTAAAATGTTAATTAAAAAGATCGAAATCTTAAACAAGTTAAAAGTATGAAACTTTTCAGATTTGTTTCAAATTAAACTTACTTTTCTTGAATTTTAATCATTAAAAAACATTATACCCACTTTATTATATATATATATATATATATATATATATATATATATTTATAACAAATGGCAAATAGCAAATTAAATAATAATAAGTAAATTATAAATTGTTTCGCGGCATAAGCGAGGTGCACTGCAACCTACCCAATACATTTTTTTTTATTTTTTTTATAGACAGGTCCGACAAATGACTCCGCCCCACCTGATGTTAAGTGATGGTGAAGTCCAGACGTGAAGATAGCTGTTACAGCAGTTCTACCTGCCACACCAGCCATCCTCACTTTGCCGGTCTGTATGTTGCTTCTTCACGCCTCTTTTAAAGGATCCCAGGTTGTAAGAAGGAGGGAACACGTGAGCAGGCAGAGCATTCCATTTACGGATAGTGCGACAAAGAAATGAGTCACCAAAGGACCTTGGACAAAAATGTATGGACGCTGCACCCACGTCTGCCACGGCTTAAACTAAATTTGTTTGAAAGGTATTATAGTCAAGATCATCTGTGCCAAAGCGCATCAAATTCCATCCCGGGGGTCTTTAGTTTTTTTAAGTTAAATATGTACAAGTACTATAACGAACGAACATTAATGAAACAAGGGAATTAATTTAGTTAGTAAATTCGACCCTACATAGGGTGCTCAGGAATTATGGGAGTACTTACTGTACCGTAAATTTTGCCACATTAGTTATAAAATAACTCTCCGCCACATTTAAAAAAAAAAGTACGGTAATTACATTTTTTTCAATAACAGAATCATATTTCCTCACAAATGGTGAATCGCGATCAATAAATATATTTAAATATCTTCAAAACCTTAGAATTTTATAAAATATTTTGCTACAAAAAGCGTTGAATTTTTCGTAAAATACGCTTATCCGCCCCGGTAGAGGTGCACTTTGAGCATCAGTAAAATCAAAAATAAAAATCTTTTTGATAGTCTGTTTGCTTTTACGCTATACAATAATAGTTAGCTAGCCACATTTTAAATATCGTTTCCTATTACCTAAGAAAGGACATTGGGCAAAAATGTATGGACGCTGCACCCACGTCCGCCACGGCTTAAACTACATTTGTTTGAAAGGTATTATAGTCAAGATCATCTGTGCCAAAGCGCATCAAATTCCATCCCGGGGGTCTTTAGTTATTTTAAGTTAAATGTGTACAAGTACTATAACTAACGAACATTAATGAAACAAGGGAATTAATTTAGTTAGTTAGTTCGACTCTACATAGGGTGCTCAGAAATTATGGGAGTACTTCACAAGGTGCAAGGGTGCCCTCTTATGTTATTCTGCCGCGCTAGAGTAAATCGAAACATCCCCGCATGGGTTGGGTTTTTTTTAAACATTCTGTTCGTTATAGTAAATTGTTTTCTATGTAAAACGGAGCGACCACAGATTACACAAACTTATCCACGCTTCGGAGAACACATGATTCTTGTTCATCCATACTAATTGACAAAACCGATAATCGTGTTTCAATATCCAAAGCGTGTTAGATAAAAATCAATCAACTAGCAGTAGCAGAAGTAAGACGAGTCGACTATTTGCAACTGCAAGTCCTTCATCATCCATAAACCGTTTT